TACCAAAAGAGAAGAATGTCCACACCTTTATCTCAGTGGTTCTGCCAGGTGGCTGTGGCCACTCCGATCCTTCCCGCCGCGCGGTCTCTCCCAAGATGGCAGCTCCTGGAGCAGCCGAGCGTCCCGGACTAGAAAGCTATAGATTTCTTGCTTCTGCCACAAATTCCCCCAGCTGTGAGCCTTCCAACCTTCTAAGTATTCCTTTATATGTGGTTCAGAGTTCTGGCACCATCCCCTGAGCCTGCTTGTTCGGATATTCTGTGTTGTTGTTGGCGGAGCTCTCTGCTATACGTCCACCTGATCCGCCATCTTGTTTGTTCTCCTCTTCCTTTTCATAATATCCAGCCTGAAGTTAAACTTTTCATTTGAACTTTTCATTGTAGATAATGTATTTTTTCAGTTCCAGAATTTCATTTGTTGTTTTTCTTTTTAAAGTAACTTTCATTTCATTACTAAAATACCCCAACTTTTCTTTCATTATAATATTCATGTCTTCCTTAAAATCTTCGAACATGTTTATAATTGATGTTGTTGTTGTTAAGTGCCGTCGAATCAATTCAGATCCATAGCCACCCTGTATATAATAGCTGACTTGAAATTTTTGTATGCTTATTCCAACATCTCTCTTTTTGGGGGGCATCCTTCTGTTAACTGTTTTGGATGTCCTGCTTTTTCAGTGTGTAGTGAGTTTTAATTTTATTCTATGCATTGTGGACACTATGTTATTGAGATTTTGTTGTTTTCCTTTAAGGAGTGTTCAGTTTTATTTTGACCTTCCTGAGTAAAATTCAACACTAAAGCATTGAGGTGCCTCTGGGTGGATGTAGACCACTGATTTCAGCTAGTGGTGGTGGTGTTAAGTGCAGTCAAGTTGTTTCCCACTCATTGCAACCCTGTAGAGGTACTGTTGTCGACTTTGAAGCATGGACCTTGTGGTCTGCACGCCAGTGCTTATCCTGCAGTACCACACCAGGACTCCTTTACTAAGTATGTTGTTGTTGATATTGTAATTTGTATAGTTATAACTCAGAATTTGGAAATAAAGTCCAAATCAAAACTTATAATGTATCTATTTATTTACTTGACTGTTTTTACAACTTTGTTGTTTTAAATTAGAAAAATTTAATTTAATTTAATTTAAATTTCTCGTAAAAGTTTAAACATACCTTATTGAAAATTGTGATTTTAGGATCCATACTAGAATAGAAAATATGTTGTATTTTTGGTTCCAGCAATGATTTTACCTAAATGAGAACTGTTTATAATTGTGTTCTCTATCATTTCAGAATGCAGAGGCTTGGAACAATTTATCAACATCGTATATCAGATTAAAGCAGAAGTAAGTACATTAGATAAATATGGAGAACTTTGCTTCCAAATCAAATAAATGAAGTTCCCTCCAATTCAACACTGAAGCATTGTATCTTGCTCTTTTTCTCCTGCCCACTCTTGTAATTGAGTTAAAATGCCATAGTACCGCCTTCAGAATTTTAAATCTATACTTTACTAATATTCTTGCAGAAATTTAATAAGCAAAAAAATAAGAAATATTGCTAAAGTTTTTCATTTGTAACTGAAGTTTTTTATTCTGAAATTTAGTAAATAATAAAAGCAAGCATAGTTTACTTGGTTCACTCAATTGATTCATTGTTTTAAATTGCTTGCTGTATACTCAACTGTATGGAGAAATGTAAAGATTTATGAACCATTGTGGTTCAAAGCATAAAATACAAAGGGACTTCAAAAAGGTCATGGAAAAATTCCATTTATCTTTTAATTCCATTTTTTCCATAAACTTTTTGAGATCCTCTTATATTATGCCATGTTTTAAAAAATATTGAGTTATCAATATGTGGTTGTTGTTATTATGTGCCATGGAGTCAGTTCCAACTCACAGCGACCCTGCACAGGGTTTCTGAGGCTGTAAATCTTTACTGGAGCAGAAAGCCTCATCTTTCTCCCTCAGAGAAGCTGGTAGTTTCAAACTGCTGATCCTGAGGATAGCAGCCTGATTTGTAACCACTATGCTACCAGAGCTCCTTATCAATATGTGGTATCAAGTGAAAAATATTAAGAAGGCTGTAGTAAGAGTAAGTGATATTTGTGGACAACGGGAGTAAAGTGGCCCACTTCAGAGTAAAAGGAATGAATGTAGTGTTTCAGAAGACAGGAAATAAGACAGTTAGTTACCGAATACAGTGAGATCCATTGGGACGATCTGACTAACAGGCTGAAACTGTCCTGTTGGCAATAGGAAGCCAGAGATTTCAGTGCGGGTAACATGAAGAATGGAGCTCTTTAGGAAATTGTGTCTGGTGGCAATGTAAGACAGACTAGAAAGGAAACTGGAGGCTGGGAAACCAGTTAGATGACAGCTGTTGTAGCAATCCAGGCATGAGATAACTAGAGTGGAAAAAGAAGGGGCAGATGCCAAACAGTTTATAAAGGGGACAGTGAACAGGGCTTATTGACTATCTGTACAAAGTGAGGAAAAACACAAGCATCACTGTTGGTTGGGTTTTAATAAATTAATTAAAGAATGTTCATAGTTCCATTTTTCTTTGACATCATTTTCAAACTTAATTTGTGTGTGTAATCGCACATCATTTGTGTGTGTGTAATTGCACATCATTAAACCCATATTGCACTGAGGTTATAAAGCGCTTCCTCTGATCTTAGATGACAGGTTTCATTATTAAATAAGTACTGTTTGTTCTGTCCTTCTCTTCAGCAAATAATATTATGTTCTTGATTGCAGCTGATTGTGTTAAATCTCACTGGAGACCCTTTTGGTGTAAAGTCAAGGATGAGGGAAATCCCTATCATAGTTGTAGAATGATCTCAGGGTGTTTTTCTAGCAACCCTGGCAATTCTGTGTGTAGTGAGTCTTTTGATACTCTACCTTGTCTTCCAGCCCATTAATCTTAGGAACTCTGCTTTCTCTCTGGAGCTCTTGCACAGTATTCGTTAGCCTCTTTTTGATGTCTTCTTGTCTTCCTGTAGCTCTATGAATAGGTTTTTGTATAAAGTGAGGTTATAAGGTCAGAGGTAAATCACTCCTCTATTCTTGCCTTTTTATTCTTTCTTTTCTTGGCTGCTGTTCCAGACATAGCTGATTTTTGACTCATGAGATTGTTACTCAGGGGTAAATTATTACTGCTCCTCTCAAAGAATTTGATCCATGCCTTAAAATGGCCTGTTAGAGTATTTTACCAAGGTTCGTCACTAAAGGTCCCTTTTAACTGTTTCATGTGATTCCCTCAGACACCATGTCCCTACCAGTTCCCTTGGGAAATTTTCCCATCTTAGGATAGAAGTTTTGGAGTATACGGTATCTCTACCATAGTGGTTTGGTTAGTGAATCTTAAAGATGAAGCTCCTTATAAAGAAGCTGTACTTAGTAAAAAAGAAATAAATAATTCAATACTGCAAAAATTTGAGGCTAGGAAATTATGATGAACATGTAATAAAAAGGATATTCCTCTTGGTGTGGGTGGGAGAAGTGGGGAGTCTCAGTCCACACCTGTTGAAATCAGTTGTTGCATGGGAGGTAGTATATGAGCAGTCAAGTAGAGAAGGGGGGTGGAGGGGAAACCATAGAAGCAATTTATAGCTGAATTAAGAAATGTTAGAGCAAGGTCACTTTGTGTTTTAACCGTAAATGATGGGTAAGTCAGAGGATAAGTGAGTCACTTCATTCTATAACAACTTTCAGCAAATTGCGTAATATAGAGAATAAAAACTAAACTGCAGCTTTTTTCTCATCCTTTGATGAGATTGAGTTTGTCTGTGGCCTTCAGCTTCCCTAGAACCATAGTTTTTTTTTAAAGCACAGTACCCTAGGCAAATGGCTTGCAGACGCTTTTGTTCAGTCACCTTTACAAGGAAGGGAGGGCCGACCTCTCTGACCTTTAAAGTTACTTCCATGCCTCAGTTCCCTGGAAGGAGCTCTTTCACCGTCCTTCCCAGGAAGCGCTCCACAACATCCTTGCTCACTTGACCTCAAAACTAGTGAATAGACAGTTTCACCTCTATTGCCTCTGTCTGCCGGCTCTCAGCCGTAGGAATCTTGTTTTTTTGAACCCAGGAGTCTTTAGTGTTTTATTTTATTATATAATTAGGCTAAGTGCAGGGGCACAGATGTCTTTTACTTTTTCTACCATTTTGGACACGAAACTAAACTTACCAGTTTTTAGCTATTTTTTTTTTTTTTTCAGTATTATATTATCAATTGACAATTGAAACATGAATATTTTCAGTTCAGAATATTGTCAGGTATAGTGCCAGAAGACAAGCCCCTTAGGTGGGAAGGCACTCAAAATGGAACTTTTTATTTATTCAAGATTAAGAATGAGGCTTTTGAACTGTGAAATGCTATTTTTAGTCTAATAAGAAAATGCCTCAAAGAGGTTAGAAATAAAGTAATTCCTTTCACCTTCACATGCTCCCTACCCAGTCACTTACTGTTAAACTGTGTATATTTTTTAAATTTAAATATTCATTTGCCTTGTCCTTATAAAGTATTCTAGTATTTATCCAACACTGTGGCCCCATTTGGCATTTACAGCATCCTAAGATTCCTAACAATTTGATCATACCTTTAAGCCTAATAAACTAAACAATGAATGAAATACTAAGCCAACTTTGAACTTCGGTATTTTTCTATATCTGTTAATTTCAATCAAGACTAATGTCAAAATACTATCTAAACTGAATCTGAATGAAAAAAAGCTAGTAGATAGCTGCTAAT